ATCTCCAATAAAATACCCTTTTCCCTTCCTCTCCCCCCCCCCAAAAAAAAAAGCTGGAAGTGGAGCTGTGGCTCAAATAGTAGAGCACTAGCTTTGAGCAAAAGAAGCTCAGGGACAGTACCTAGGCTCTGAGTTCAAGCCCCAGAAACTGACACACACAAGACAAACAAAAAGCAGAAAAGCATTAGTTAACACCAAGCATTCATGCCTTTAATCCCAGTGACTTGAAGATGGAGGAAGTAGGAGGTTAAGACCAGCCCAGGAAAGGTTAAAGAGACCTTACTGCAAAAACTTAATACAAATAAGAGTTGGGGATGTGACTCAAGTGGTATATGCTTACTTAGCATAGCTGAGGCTCTGAGTACTATCCTAGTCCCACGGAAGAAGGAAGAGGAGAGAGAGAAGTAAAGCATTGATTAATGATTTCTAAAATACGTAGCTAGATGCTTGTATGATTCAGTGATGTTAGTCAATAAACCATTCCATCTTAAAAGCTGATGTGGCAAAGCTACCTGTACCTGTGTGCAGTGGCCCAGTGCCTATATTCCCAGTTACTCAGTAGGTGGGGATCTGAGGGTTGCAGTTAGAGGCCAGAATAGGCAAAAAATTATTGAGACCCTTTCTCAATCAAGAAGCTGGGCATAGTGGTGTGTGTCTATGGTCCCAGCTACGTGGGAGGCTATAGGTAGAAGGATTGTAATGTTAGATTGACCTCCAAATAAAAGCTGGCAAGCCTACCTGAAAACAATTTAAAGGTAAAGCACCTTTCTAGTAACTATGAGGCCCTGAGTTCAAATCCCAGTACTGCCAAACAAAAAGAAAAAAAAAGGAAAATAACAATAAATTTGGGCCAGGTGCCAGTGGCTCACACCTACAACCTTAGCCACTTAGGAGGCTGAGATTTGAGGACTGTGGTTCAAAATCAGCCTTAGTAGGAAAATCTGTGATCCTCTTATCTACAATTAACTGTCTAAAAGTAAGAGTGGAGCTGTGGCTCAAGTAATGGAGTGCTAGCTTTGAGCAAAAAAGCTCATGGTCAGTGCCCATGCCCTGAGTTCAAGCCCCAGGATCTGCATACATACACATAAATATTGGCTCTGTATTCTCTTAACTGTAAAACAGGGATAAATTCCTGCTTTCGAGTGTGGAGTCTCTTTTCTGTTAAGTAAAGCAAATGCTTATGTATGTCTCAGGATTATGGTATAGATGAGGACTATGTTCAACAAAAGTGAAGTACTACTTATGTGTAAGATAATATTACTCATAATAGGAAGTGTGGAAGTAGGTAGCAGTGGAAGAGGCAGCCTCTTGCTGGCTGCAGTGTCAGTTGGGTAGTCTTACCAGATCCAGGTAGACAGGAAGTAAGAGAGACACTGCAGGGAGGAACAGAACAGCAGAGAGAGAGAGAGAGATGCCCAGGCATATCCTGTTACCTTGCTCTGAATTCCAGCTGTTTCCTAAAACTTGAGAGGCTTAAGCTGATGTACAGGGGTCCTCCTTATCTTTGCAGTTTTGTTTTTCACGGTCAACTATAGTCAGAATCTTGTGGAGTTTTCTTCTTTTTCTTTTTCTTTCTTTCTTTCCTTTTTTTTTTCTTTTTTGTCAGTTGTGGAGATTGAACTCTAGGCCTAGGCACTGTCCCTGACAGTGCTACCACTTGAGCCACAGCGCCCCTTCCAGTTTCCTAGTGGTTTATTTGGAGATAAGAGTCTCTCAGGACTGGGAAGGTGGCTCATTGGTAGTGCTTACCTTGCATGCCTGAGGCCCTGGGTTCAATTCCTCAGCACCACAGAGGCAGAAAAAAGCTGGAAGTGGCGCTGTTGCTAAAGTGGTAAGGCGTTAGCCTTGAGTTGAAGAGCTGAGGGACAGCACCCAGGCCCAGAGTTCAGCCCCCACAACAGACAAAAAAAAAGTCTCACAGGCCTTTTTGCCTGGGCTGGCTTTGAACCACGATCCTCAGATCTCAGCCTCCTGAGTAGCGAGGTAGCTAGGATTACAGACATGAGTTACCAGCACCCAGCCTTGTAGAGTTTTGTAGAGTTATTTATTTATTTATTTTTTGCCAGTCATGGGGCCTGAACTCTGGGTCTGGGCGCTGTCCCTCAGCTCTTCAGCTCAAGGCTAGCGCTCTACCACTGGAGCCACAGCGCCACTTCCGGCTTTTTCTGTTTAT